AACTTTTCAATTTCTGCAAAGCTACTATATGATTACCATGGATCAATCTCTACAAAATACAAACCTACTATATGATTCCATTCCAACCATAAGAAGTGGGACATCACTGATCATGTTTTCATTTTCAGTAATAGAAAAAAAATTACAATGAACTTAGTTCATTAAACAGAAAATTTTTTGTTAATGTCACATCTCTAACCTCTCTTTCCCCTTTGTCACCTCTAACCTCTCTTTCCCCTTTGTGGTTGATTCATTGTATGCCTACAAAAATTAACAATAAAACTTACGATTCAAAATCTCAAATAACTTTTAATGAAGAAAACTCAAATTATAAGACCTTGGCCATTAACAACTTCATCTATAGCAATGCAAGGGTGAAAACTTCTCCAGAACATAAAAAATATGAGCAAATACAACATGAAATACAACTTGTGTACCTTACAAAAAGGCTTCACTTTATCACCAAAAGTTCTCATCCATGTTTTAACACGTTCCTCCAATTCCTCACTAGAAAATGGTTTTTTGTCCTTCCAAATGTTCTACAAACAAATTAAGATAAAAAATTTGTTATTTAACAAAGGTGAGCCTTTATTACAATAAACAAAAATGAAAAAAAATATATATATCTAACAATATACTTACTTTCGGAAATCCATGTTGTCGAAAAAGTACAAACTCATGCATCCAGTTCATAACGTAGTAACCACACTCCCAATCGGACAATTGTTGATTACACTAAAACAATTATATACGTATGAGAGTTTTCTTTTCCTATATATATATATATATATATATATATATATATATATATATATATATATATATATATATATATATATATATATATTAGTTAGTAAGATTAATTACCTTGGGGAAAATCCAAGTCATTGGACACAAACATGATTTGTTGGTTTTTGTTTTTTTAAACCTTGTAACAGCCCTAAAACAAAAATAAACAACAATGATTTGTTAAAATTTATAAAAAGATATATCATTTCGAATACTAAAATAATAAATTTCTTACTTATTCACATGTTCAACTATTGTGTAGTCTTTCAATGTCTTTGTCTGTCTTGCAGAATCCAAAATGTAGCTTTTATATTGATGAGGACAAATCACTATCAACATCCAATGTCTCCTAATAAAGATTAAACAAATTAAACATAAACAACTTTTGATTAAAAATATCATAACAGTAAAGACATTTAGAATATCATACCTTTCCCAATATGGTACAAGAAAAAATTGTTTTTCCTCATGAAAATTCATCATATCAACAAGATCATTGATGACATGATCTGTTTCACCCCTATCATCGTATTCACATCTCGTAAACGTGATACATTGTGGGTTTATAAAACCACATTTGTTATCCATTCTTGATACAAGCATGAGTGAATGTAGCATTCTGAAAACACAATATATATTATAATGGTAAAATAATATGAAACATTAATATCATAAATGTTAAAGTACTTACATTTGATACCAGAGAATACAACTAATATCAAGTTGTTCTTTGTTCAACATCTCCATAATGGCCACTGAGCTAATCACGGTTTCAACACTCGCAGAGTTGAAGATCCCGGGTTCAGACACAATAGGAAACGACTCCGGAATGTTGTGGCTCTTAAACAGTTTCTTTGGCATCATGGGTTCTTGCATCGTTTTGTATAACTTTTCCTTTTGTACCTACATTAAGAAACCAAACAATTATCATGAAAATTGTATTGCTATGAAACTAATAACAATGAGAGAGAGAGAGAGAGAGAGAGAGAGAGAGACGTAGGTTTGTGCCATATACCCTATTTTCTGCTTCATCCCCCATCATCTCTTTAGATGCTTCCAGTTTCCTTCTTTTCTTTCTAGGAAGATTTTTCTGCCACCAAAAAATAGTAAAAAATACAGTATATTTCTGTGGGCTAAATGCTAAAAATAGCATCCAACTTTCATATATTTTCATTGTAACTTTTTATCTTATTAAGGCATATTAATATATAATATCTTTCAAAGAAATCAAAAGAAGAAAATTATGCACCTCGTACTCTTGCTTTTTCTTTGCTTTCTTCTTATGCTCTTTAGCTTCTTCAACATTCACGTTTTCTTTCTCTTTTTCCTAAAGTCCAAATTAAAAGATTATATTTTAATATATGTAGTTTTTTTTTATGGCAAATTAACTATAAATGAAAACAATACCTTTCCAAAATTGTAAGTTAGAGTGACTACCTGGTCATGAAGAATAGGAGCAGCTTGGGTCGACATTGATAATGGTTCAATGAGAGGTCTTTTATCTTTCTGCATAATTGAAATCGAGTTTAGTAAATAGTCAATGATGCATGTGATTAGATATTAATGTACCTTAATAAGAGTAATTGAATCTCTAGGCCATTGAATAAAACTATGAAGTGTCTGCCCTAGATTATATACACCTTCAATTGGCGAGATTGGAAGAAGGAAAGAATGATGATCTCCATAGATAATATCGACTGATACCCTCAAATGCCCTGCTTCTAGAGGAACCGAATGAATTACACCATCTCCGAAAGGGAAGACGGTTCCTTTGGCTAATGATGGGCGTATTGTGCCATATGGTAGCATCAACTCGCAGTCGGTGGCTTCCTACAAACAAATATACAATTTTTTAATGCAAAGTTATATTATCAAACATGCAAACAAATATATATGTTAGAAAAAATAGATACCGTTATCTTATGCAAATCATCCAACAATGTCGTGGATGTCTTCGATCCAACACTTGTCGTCTTCACCCGAGAAAAATTTGTGTCTTCCGCCATATCAATTGTCTTATCTTGCTTCAACGCAGCAACCACTATCGGTACTAATTGTTCCGACATCTCAGTCATTAACCTATCTTTGATCTTGTCATAAAAGTTGCTATTCAACATCCTCGTCTCTAGCTTTTCTTGCATCTGTTCAACATCGGGTAACTCATGTTCTTTCTTTTTTCTTTTATAAATCATTGATTGCTTTAATCCGATATTATGACCAACTGCCCTCGTGCGACCGGAATGTTCCCGTCCTAGTACCTCCGCCAGTAGATCAGATCGAGGTCCAAGCTCCAACACTCCTTGAGATAACAAAATATCTTTTTGGATCTATAAAAATGCAAACAATACAACTGTAAGAGCATTTTATTTAATAAAGAACTTTCAAAGGCCACTATCTTACAATCTTATCTGCTAGAGGTTCGGTCTCTGGCGTTATAACCAACTGCCCCGATGCATTGCGTTTTCTCCTGGCATAGAGAAAATTCCTTGCCCGCTTGCTTGATATATTGTGACCTTTTATTGTTACACCAGATGTTGCCTCTTCATCCCATTTGCTTTCATTACCACGATACCCGCTTGGGCCCAACCGAGGATGGTTCTTGTTTTTATTTGCTGCCTCCCTTCCTTTTCTTCTTAATTCCTTTACAAATGAATTGTCCAATTAGAAATAGTAAAACACAACAATATTATAAACTCAAACAGACCTCAAATTCTTCCGTGGATTTTAGAACAATAAACTTTTTCCACATTGCTTTGTCAAGGTACGGGTATTCTTTTACTGGATTGACACCTTTTTCCCACAACTTAAGAAGCGCCGACTTGTAGGCCTTCCATTGCGTGTTGCAATCTCTAAGTACTTGTGCTTTATGATTATCATCTCGTATATGCCAATAATTCTGCTTTTTTAAATAAAAAATGAAGATAACAATTATTAGGTAAATGATATGATACAACTTGTATGATAGAAGATAATAACATGGCAGGAAATTGTGATTGCTACTATTAAATGATATCAAAAGTGTGTTGAAATGAGTTTTACCTTTATGTTCAACCACAATTGATCCTTGTCACATTGATCCACTAAATCCCAACTATCTATAAGGATAGAAATCATCTTCCTCGTAGTCACTCCACGATAACCGGTGAACTTAAAGCGGTTAGGTCCAATAGCTCTACCGAATTGATCAAACTCAACTGTTAAATTTGATAGATATTCTTTGGAATGATCTCTGATCAATGTCACACTTCTCTTTTTCTTTTCTTTACGGTCCATTGTATGCCTACAAAAGCATAAACACTCGTATAATTAATTCTAAGAGTCTCAAACACCAAAAAAAAAAACAAAAATTTTATATAAAATTGAAGATGCCCAAGGTAAGTTTATGCTCTTTTCAAAACAAATTCAATGCTTTATGTACTCTTGATTCATATATTAACTCAAATAATGATTGTTAATATGTATACCTTGCTTCAAGATGTTTTGTTTTGGGTTTATCAACACTTCTTTTTCTAGTTTTTCTTTCTACCATACGGATCCTCCTGCTCTTGGTTGTTTGCACTAGTACCTCATCCATATGTAATGGTAAATTTCCAATGTATAACCTCAGACCTGTTGATAAAAAAATGAGCATAAAAATGATCATAGAAAATGATGAGGGTAAAGATATGTTAAAGATTATGACTTAATCCAACTAATGAGAAGATGATGAAATAATAATCGATACCCCACAGCTAAAGGCAATTGAAGTGAAATTGAAGGAGATTGGAATAGTCTCTGAATCTTTTGGTCCTGTACAGAAAATTTCAAAAGGATCAATGTGATTGAAGATTACACAAATAAAAAATCGGTTACTTTGTAGTTTTCATTCCATTCTAAATGCATATTTCTACTCAATAGTGCAAAGGTGGCAACTCAGGGGAGAAGAAACTCTCTCTTCATTTCTGATGATTAGTATGTAAATTGCCTCATATTCTTAAAATCGACTTTATTTATTAAAATTATGACATGGAATTTTATAAAACATTTTAGTAATTCAGCTGTGTTGACTTGTTTTCGAGCCAAATGTACTCATTTAACTGTTATATTGACCTAATATTTCTTTTATTCTTTAATTTCAAGCTTTTGCAGATGTTAAATCAAGTTACAAAAGGATGAATGCACTCCCTAAAGTACCCTTATACACCTGCCCAAGTGAATTTTGACAAATATTACCTGAGGAAAACATCAACCAAATCCCCATTTTCTTTTAATCTACCCTTATACACCTGCCCAAGTGAGGCTGCTGCTATTGGAGAAGTGGTGAGCTCTGAATAGATGTTTGGTGAAAGTGTATGATGAGATTATTTTGATGAAGGCAAAGGGATTTGTAGCAAATTCTTTCTATAGCGGTTTAACTGCTACTGAGTTTTTCTATAAGAAAGAATATCATTTGCTGCTTTACAAAACCCTATAAACGACATCGTTTGCTGCTTTACAATTAAAACCCCAATTTTGGGGAAAAAACAAAACAAACACCGTGTTTAGGTGTGTGCTGTCATAAAAATCAGAAGTGATGAGGGAGGAGCTGAGACGAGGAGATGGAAGTGGATCGAAGTAGGAAACACAATTTGAGGTTATTTGGTTGAAAGAAATTGAGATGCAGAGGGCATATCAAGCGTACATGGGTTGTCAATCCCACTGTGCTGTTGTGTAGTCAAGGGAACACAACTAAGAGGAGGGTAGTCGCCAATAGCGGCATCATTGAGAGGGAAACGACGACGCAAGCGATGCCGCCCAGCTGGAAATCGCCGGAAAAGGTTTTGTGATGATATCTTATTATGACATTCGACATGCACGAATTGCAATGAGGGAGCTTCAGAATAAGCCTCTGAGAAGAAGAAAGCTAGACATTCATTTTTCTATCCCTAAGGTTTGTTTTTTTGTAATTGTGGCATAAATGTAATATTATTGTTGTTATTTACTTATTTGTATTTGTTTTTGATATACATACAGGATAACCCATCAGAAAAAGATATTAACCAAGGGACTCTTGTTGTTTTCAACTTGGATTCATCAATTTCCAGTGATGATCTTCGTCACATATTTTCAGCTTATGGGGAAGTCAAAGAGGTGATATTTGTCATTTGACTTTCTTTTCCAAAGACTTCAATTACTTTCTTCAGTTCTGTGAATACATTTTGACTTTTTTTAAGAAGATTAGGGAAACACCAAACAAGAGACACCATAAGTTTATTGAATTTTACGATGTTAGAGCTGTTGAGGTGGCATTGAAAGCTCTAAACGGGAGTGAAATTGCTGGCAAAAGGATAAAACTTGAACACAGCAGGCCTGGTGGTGCTCGTAGAAGGTATATATATATATATATATATATATATATATATATATATATATATATATATATATATATATATATATATATATATATATATATATATATATATATATATATATATATATATATATAAGTGGAGGGACTTCAACAGTTAAAAAGGAATTTACGAGGGACTAAAGTTGCCAATTCACATTTATGTAGCATGATGCAACAACTGAGTCAAGAACTGGAACAAGATGAAGCTCGAGCTTTATGGCACCATGTTGGTTCACCTGTCATCAACTCTCCACCTGGTTAGTAATTTAAAAACTTATTACTTTTTATCGTTAACACCTTTTTTTGTTTTTATTAATTTTGTTTTTGCAAAATGCCACCTGGCAGGAAGTTGGTCATCAGGTTTTGGAACCCTTAGCCCTGTGAACACCACCCCTTTACATGGGCTTGCATCCATACTTCCACCACATATATCAAACCCCATGAAAATTTCACCAATTGGAAAAGATCAACAATCAAGTTCAAGATCTTTCCCTGATCATCATAACACATCATCATCTTTTCTTGATTCCAAATTTGACCCTTCTTCTAGTATTGGTACCCTGTCTGGCCCTGAGTTTCTGTGGGGTAGTCCAACTACTTATTCTGACCACCAAAGTAATTCTTGGCGGGCATCTCCGGTGGGCCCGTTTAGTCCTAGTCAGCATGGTACATTCCTGGGACCACCACATCATCATGTAGGCTCTGCGCCACCTGGCATACCTCTTGACAGGTCAGAGAGATCATTCATGTATAACGGAAGCTAGATGGGTTCTTTTGGTAAAGGACAGATGTTGTTTGGTAATGGTACTTCATATCAAGGAAGTTGGACATTTTACCATGATTATTGTATTTTAAGGAATTATCATACAAAGATTTTTATTGCTAATGTTTAGCTATTTTGTTTGTCTTAATGAATGGGTTCCATGTGGATATAAGTTTCTCCAGTAATTTACATATGAAGGTTACAATTTTCTCAAAACCTCATTGATTTTTTTGCAGGTCATCGTTATGGTAGATAATCTATGGTTCAGTTAAAGAGGAAGGGTAAAAGGGGAAAACAGTCCTTACCAATGACCAATAGGGGCAACAGAGGTAATTTGGGGACTACTATGAAACTCAAGGCAGGAAGGGTAAAAAGGGAAAACAGTCATTGTTGGGTTTAATGTTCATCACTCTTGTTTGGTAGATTTATAAGTTTATTGTTATTAGTTGTAATTAGTTGCAAGGATTTGGTAACTTTCTATATGGTGCTGTCATATTTTTGGCATTTTTTGTTCCGGTTTGTAATATGTACATTCCCAACCATTAGTTGGGTTTTTTTTTTTTTTTTTTTTTTTTTTTTTTTTTTTTTTTAAATAACATTCTTATTTCAAATCTCAAAAAGAATATGTTGATTAGTAGAAGTAGTTTACTGTTGCATTATACCTATTAACAACATTATACTTGAATCAATTTTCTTTTTAACAAAATAATACTTTCAACAATAGGATTATACTTTCATGTTGTACACATAATAGCATCGTACTTTCAGTTTTTACACATAATATCCACGTACTTTCATTTTTTACACATAATACCCCCGTACTTCCCTTTTTTACACGTAATAACATCGTACTTTCAGTTTTTATACATAATACCCCCTACTTTCATTTTTTACACATAATTGCATCGTAATTTCAGTTTTTACACGTAATACCCCCATACTTTTGTTTTCTACACATAATAGCATCGTACTTTCATTTTTTACACACAATACCCCCGTACTTCTATTTTTTACAAATAATACCCCCGTACTTTCTTTTTTACACATAATAGTAGTAACCATTCAACATTTTCATTCCAGAATAAAATGAAGATAAACTTGTGTAAGTCATGACATAAGTTGGATCATCTGGTGGTGATAGCAGCTGTGTACATTGATGGATAACAGTTGCTTCTGCCTGTAAAATTACAAAAATACCCTTACTACTATCTAAAGTTGTAAACACATCAATGATTCATATAGCCAAACAGAAAGTAACCTGTTTCCATATGATCCATATAGCCAAACACATCAATGTGGAGTTAAGAACATAGAATTGTTCTTAACTACAACTATCATTGTTATTGTCCTTCAGTGTCGTGTCCGTCTGTGTTGCTGCAAACAAAAATGTATTAAATACATACATAATACTATCCTCATATGTTTCAGATTTACATTCAAATTATATTTTTTATTTTTAGATTGAACAGAGGGGTTTATTACCTTTCTTCAACATATGCTCCTTCGTTATGGTCCAATCTTAAGTAAGCAGCGTCATTAATATCGACATTCATAGATGGAATACCAATAGAAAATGGAGGTAGGTCGTCAAACTGGTTATATTCTTCCTCGTCCACGACATTTTCAACTCCGAGTATACGTCGTTTACCATGAAGAACAATGTGCCATCTCGTGTCCATTGGGTCCTCAACAAAGAATACTTGGTTAGCTTGCTTAGCTAGAATAAATGGTTCAGATACATAACCGTTTGTAGAAAGATTGACAAGTGTGAAACCGTCTTCATCAACTTTAACACCTCTTCTATTGTCAACCCACTTACACTTGAACACGGGTACTACAACCGAGGAATCATAGTTCAATTCCCAAATTTCTTGAATGACACCATAATACGAGTCTTTGGCTATACGTGACCTTCCCTCATGATTTGCACTAGAGTATTCGGTCGACATGGCTATTAGCGTCACTCCACTATTTTGTAGTGTGCTCTTTCTATCTGGTTTTGGGTATAAAATGTATACCCATTAATGTCATAGCTTTGATATGTTGACACAGCATTTTGCGGACCATACCCCAACACCTGCACTAATCTATCAACATCTTTTGTCCTTAAGCTTACTTTCACCTTATCTTTCAACCATTGTGGAAATTTTTTAATATGCTCGTTAGCTAACCATTTTTCGGTCCTCCTACTATTTCTTGATCGTAACATTTCCATGTGTTCCTTTGCATAAGGAGCAACAGATGTCATGTGTTGCAGGACTGTAAAGTGTGCCATGTGGAATTCGTCTCGATCAGGAATTACCACTTTCGATCCATTATACCAACTCCTTGAAGTCTACCTTCAAGATGTGATTGCGGTATTCCAATAGTGTTGACTCCTTTGAGATAGTTTGTACAAAACTCAATCACTTCCTCTGCAGCATATCCTCTAACAATACTGCCTTCTGGTCGATGTCGGTTCCTTACATATCCTTTTAAGACACACATATATCTCTCGAAAGGGTACATGTATCGCAGAAACACCGGACCACAAGCCTTTATTTCTCTTACAATATGGGATACAAGGTGAACCATGACATCAAAAAATGAAGGTGGAAAGTACATTTCAAGTTCACAGAGAGTGAGGATAATATCATGTTGCCATGAGTCCAAAACTTCAGGATCAATCACTTTCGAATGAATCATGTTGAAGAACAAGCAAAGCTTTGTTATTGTATGTCGGACATGGTCCAGAAGTATTCCACGAATTGCAATAGGAATCACATGTGTGATTAGAACATGATAATCATGTGACTTCATACCAATCAATTTCAAGTCTTTCATTGACACCAACTTCTTGATGTTTGCAGAATAGCCAGATGGCACCTTGATACCATGTAGGCATTTACAAAACTTTGTTTTCTCATCTTTAGACAATGTATAGCAAGCTGGTGGTAGATATGTACGTCTTCCTTCTTTCTTAATAGGAGCAAGCTCTGGACGAATTCCCATTGCAACCATGTCATCTCGAACACTAAGCCCATCCTTTGATTTTTTTGGAATGTTCAACAACAAGCTTGTTAAGCTTTCAGAAACATTTGTCGTAATATGCATGGGATCAAGACAATGTCGGACTTCCAACGTTTTCCAGTATGGTAATTCCCAAAAAATAGACCTTTTCTTCCAATTGGTCGGCTGATTGTTTTTACTGCGTTTTCCAAAAACAATCTTTAAATTTTGAACTTGGGAAAATGTCATTTTTCCATCCATTGGGAGATTCATATCTTCATCCTCGGTTTTACCGTCAAACAAGTTTCCCTGGGTACGATACAAATGATTCTTTGGAAGTGATCGTCGATGTCCCATGTATACATTTTTTTTACAGTTTTTCAACCACATCGACCGTGTGTCCTTTTGACAAACTGGACACGCCTTCTTTCCTTTTGTACTATATCCGGACAAATTTGCGTAAGCTGGAAAATCACTTATAGTACAATAAATCATTGCATGTAGCTGGAAATACTCTTTCTTGAATGCATCATAGACTTCAACTCCCGAGTTCCATAATTCTTTCATGTCGTTAATTAATGGTGCCAAAAACACATCAATATCATTACCGGTTGTTTCGGACCTTGAATTAGCAATGACATCATGATGTATTTCCGTTTCATACATAACCACGGTGGAAGATTGTATATGCAAAGAAGAACCGGCCATGTGCTGTGACTACTTCTCATGTGTTTGAACGGATTAATTCCATCTGCACTAAGTCCGAATCGGAGATTTCTAATCTCATTACCAAATTCTTCAAATTCATGATCAATGTTCTTCCATTGCGGAGCATCAGCCACGTGTCTCATCTTTCCATCTCTTTTACGCTTCTCAGCATGCCAACGTAATAATTATGCATCTTTGGCATTTGCAAACAATCGTTTCAGTCTTGGTACAATGGGCAAATACCATAATAACTTGGCAGGGGGGGCATTCTTTGTCACATCACTATTATATTCTGTTTGTTTCTTCCACAAATAACGCGACCTTCCACATGTAATACATTCATGTAGATTTGCATGCTCATTTCTATACAACATACAATCATTTGGACATACATGTATTCTTTCGATTTCCAAATCCATTGCACACATTATTTTTTCGCTTGGTATAGTGAAACAGGCAACTCATTACTTTCAGGGAGCATTTCATGTATAACCCCTAACAGTTCTGTGAAACTTTTATCACTCCAACCATTATTTGCTTTTAGGTTAAACAATTTCAGGACAGCAGAAAGCTTGGAAATTTCATGCAGCCGTCATACAACGGTTTTTCAACGTCTTCAAACAATGTTGAAATTTTTCATAATCTCTATCAGGCACATTATCTTCAATATCATGTAACATGTCATCTAGGTTATCATGGATGTCATCTTCTGAATCATCTATATCATCGTAACTAGATTCAACATCAATTGTGTTATGATCAATCAATAACTCGCCATGTTGTGACCAACACGTATATCCATTCATAAATCCTTCACATATCACATGTTCTTCTATTATATCCAAATCATAGACCTTTTTACAATTTCGGCACATTTTACAAGGACACCAAATGTAAGATTCTCCTCTATGCACCCGATGATCCTCAGCAACTTTAAGAAATTTCTTGACGTTATGTAAATATTCACTGCTAGCCCGTGGTAGTCCATACATCCAAGTTTCACGATACATCTGTGTAAATAATACCACAAAAAGAAAGGATTAGAGTCATCCCACAAAATAATAACAATGTATTTTCTTGTATTTACAAATAATAGTATAATGCTTATATTGATAGTGAAATGTAAGTGCATTGCTATTATAGGTACAAAATTATCACACAACCTTCCACAACACAGCTCATTACTTTTTATATCAACTTTGTTACAATTTTTGTGACCTGAATCAGACAAATATATCATGTTTTACCAAAAATGTTGATCATTAATAAACCTGTTTCAAGGATAATTTGGTCAAGATAAAAGATTTAACCACCAATTTTATCATTTTTTACAAATCAAAAATATTCTATTAAATAGTTGATTACATTTGAATTGATACAATTATTAGAAGAATATGATAAAAATGAAAGAATAACCATTGTTTATGAGGTACAGAGGGAATCTGTATCCTTTTAGTTGATGCAAACTCAAATGCTTACAGTAAACAAAAAATCAACAATTAACCACCAATTTTATCATTTCTTGAAAGATTTTAGCCAACATTTCAAGATTATTAAGCAGGTATACATATTATGTTTGCACTATATATGTGTGTATTATGGAACTTAATCTAATATTTCGACAGACTTGATGAAATAGGGAATGTGGTCTTTGTGAGTAAGAAGTTGATATATTGAAATTGATTGGTATGAACTTAGTACTCAAGGACTATTAAGGACTTGATGAAATAGGGAATGTGTTTGCATTTTAAGTTTTCAAAATAGAGGTTCTACCATTTGATTTTGCGTCTCCATCAAAGCCAAAACGCTTCCTTGTCTTTCGTGTGAACAATTGTAGTTCCTTT